CAATTACTGGAAAAAATAAAATTGTTCCATGTTTATACCAGAAAATTAGAACTACTTAATAAACTAGTTGCATGCACATATATGTATGCATTATTTGTATGTGCGTGGGACAGTATTCTCTAAATACTGTTCTGCCACTTTCTTCACTCAAAAATATAACTTCAGTATAATTTGATGTCACTACACATTTTTTATTTCATTACTTTTTATATCTGCACAATTTCCACAGTGTGGATAATTTATTTAACCATTCCCATATTAGTGAAAATTTAAATCGTTTCCACCAACTTGAACTTTCAACATTGGAGTGGTTACAAAGTTGAACCAGATAAGGTTTTTGTCCTATGGCACTTACAGATAAGTAAGGGATACAAAGCAGAAAGTCAACAAAACAGGATGAAAGAGTTAGGATGGGTAAATAGAGTGCAGGCAACTAAGTCAGAATCAACAATTCAGCAAAGATTTTCTTTCCATTATAAACTTAATATTTTAAAGCACCTAGCCAGCAACAACAGCACTCTCTCCTCAACAACTCTGCTTTTGCCACAGGAGAAAGTTGCCTGGTCCAAGCTGTAGTACAGCTGAAGTGTGCCTCTCCGCAACCTAGCAATATGCTCTACATAGATATGAACCTCAAGGCTTAAGCAAAGCAATCTCAAGAATCTAGGGGAGGTGGATCTTAAGCATTCTGTCACATAGTAAGAAAGTCTAAGCAGACCAACTCAAGGATTCCTATTACTGTGGTCAACACAGACACCATGGGGACGTATGAAATGGCAGTGGTTATGACACAGCATTTCAGGTTCACAGCAATTCATAAGCACTATGCTCTGGATAACTAGAAACTCTTGGCCACAATAATCCACAATGTGTGCAGCATTTAGCTGTGAGTTCAGGAAGTGGGCAGAATTATCTGGAAGAGTTGAAAAGTTGTGCTTCAAGTTAAGTTCATTTGCTTGGATGTGGCCAGTGGCTATTCTGAAGAGTTTGTGGAACTTCTGAAACTTACGCATGCCAAATTTCCAAATGTCAGGGAACATAGTGACAGGAGGGATGGTAGAAGAGTTTACTTTCTGAAGCAGAGACTTACAATCTAAGTGGAAATCAGCCTGGGCTCTATGTGTACCATTTACATCAGAACATGAGTGGACTACCCGCAGTTGAGCAAAGTGATGAAATGCGCTGGGTCTCGTTGCACTCCAAAGGGGCAAATCATCTCAGAAGACAACTGCTTTGAGTCCATGCACAGCAGCCAAACCTTTGGATCTGGAGCAGATTTTGCCATACTGGGAGGGTTGTTTTCAAGCCATAGATAGCGTGCTAGAGAAGCGAGGGAGAGAAATAGCCCTCTCAAGCTATTCTATGGGATGAGCTTTGAAAGAGCAATAAGAAATATGCAGGAGTTGCTGAATACAGAGCCTCAGGAAATGACTTCGAAAGAGAACATAGTAAACAATATTCTGGATATCATATTCTTGTATAAGAGCTCCTTTCTCCTCCCCTCACACCACTTGAAAGGCTTTAGACTTTGGAGCTATCCCCAGTGCCCTCTTGGTGTATAAAAACAGAATATTGATTGGGTCAGAGGTACATGGTGTCTACTCTCCAGAATTCATGTCTTCATTGTTTAAATCAATTTGTGCCCCCTTTTCATTCCTTTTTAAAAATAGTTTTTAATTGACAAGAATGCTCTTGTCTCCAAAAATCTTACATTTAAAAAGCTACTGTGATTAACTTGATTTCAAAGGCAGCTGAATGCTATATTGATGCACTGAAATTGCTCAGGGACGAGGATGAAGGTAAAGGCCTGTACCATCTGGCTCTTGGTAAGGTGTGCACCAGTGAGCTGACTGATCTCTCTCTTATGACTATTTAGGAAAACAGGACAATATCCTCTGTCAGTAGCTCCATAAAAATGGTATTAGGGTTGTTCTGACTATCTGTAAGTAGAATAAGCAGAGGAGGGGGACAATGAAACTTCTGCTCCAATTTTTGTGCAAGCAGAAAGTAGGATCGTCTGTGAGCCAATTGGCATACAGCTCCTTCTGAATCTCTGAGATTTCTGGGAGATGCACTGTTTAAAATCACAAGAGCCACTCAAGCAGCATGAGAGCTGGAGTCTGACCCCCACTCTCCATCAACCCACATTTGAACATCTGCCTGGTTAGATAACCCCCATCCAACACAAACACACACAGGAAAGGGGAAAGGTAAAAGGCAACATTTGCTAAGAGCAATATGAGGGGTGCAGACCCTACCTGCAGCATTGATGGGGCAGGGCGGGGTAGAGATCACTTCCAGCTGAGGTGGCTTTAGAGGCTGGGTGATGAAGGTTAGGTCCCTAAGAATGAGCAGGACCAGGATCTAGGAGGAAGAGGAGTGCAATCAGGTGGAAGAACATATCATGTAAAGACAGAGAGAAGAAGGCATACTTGGGCATAGTGTATGAGAGTTCCTTTTGGATGGGGCAGAGAAGTAGATGACAAGTATGGCTCAATTCTGATCAACACGGAATGTCAGGATGAGGAAAGTAGGATTTAATTCACAGATGGTGGGGTTGCCAGCCAGGGCCTTTGAACAGGAGAATGACAAGTTGAAAATAAGAAAGAGTGAAGTTTAATTTGATGGTAATGTGCAAAGTAAATTGAAGACGGAGAGGGAGGCCTGAAGGTAGATAGGTCGGAGAAAAGGTTACCCTAGTAGTCCAGTTTGAAGCAATGTTTATAGCAACTCTTTTCATTATTACTCAAAACTGAGAACACCACAAATGTCCTACTGAGGGTACATGGACAAATAAACTGGAACATCCATATAACAGAATACTACTCAGTAAAAAGAAAAGAATGAGCTATTAATGCATGAAACAGCTTAAATGATGAATCTCCAGGGCATTATGCAGAGTGAAGGAAGCCTGTCTCTAAATGTGACATGTTGTAGATTTCATTTATGTAACATCCTGAAAAAGACAAAAGATAGGAGTTGGGAATAGATCAGAGGTTGCCAAGAATTCAGGAAAGGGGGGTAAGGTATGACTGCAAAGTGGTGGCATGAGGAAGTTTTTTTGGGGGTGATTGAACTGTATCCTGTATTGTGGTGGTAGTTCCACAAATCTATACATTTCTTAAACTTCATAGAACTGTACACCCAAAAAAAAGTCCATTTCTCTATATGATAATTTTTTAAAAATATCAGTTATCCCCTGTTAAATACAACATCTGAAAGGATGGAAATATTTTGTGGTACTTAATGGTTACATCTTTATAATTCAGTAGCTATATTTATATTAAAAACTCTCCCTCAAATAATAGGAAATATATCCATCAATTGTGGAATAAATTCTTCATGCTTAAATATAAATGATAAAACATTAAGACAACAAAAATACTTTTTCCAACCCTGCTTTCTCTGTGGTGGGGTCTGTTTTTGGCTACCGCATCCCACTGTGACCATCCTAGATAAGAGACCCCTCTCTGCCTCCTTCCCCTGACTCTCCAGCTGGCTCCACTGGCCAGATTGCCATTCCCAGCACCAACATACCTCCAAGTACCAGTGGATTCTGGGTTGCGGGGATATCAATTTCCTCTTTTAACTAATATTTTTACTGCAATGATGTCCTCTCTGCTTTCTGATCATAACAATTATGCATGTTGATAGTTCTCTTTTCTAATGTATCAAAGTGAATGATATCAGAATATCTCAAGAGTGGCATGCATGAACAAAAATTCCACCTGTTAAAAAGCCTCACACCAAATGGTGAGATAGAGGGAACTCTCTCCTTTCTGAGTGTTTCAAGGATGTATGAGAGTTATTTTCCAACACATTTTTTTGAGTTCCAAAGTAAAGTTGACTCCTTTATAGACTCATCTGATTAGCAAGGCACTGGATCCTACAGAGGACATGAGAAGAGGCAGTGTGCCTAAAGCCTCCACTTAAAACTCAAGCAGAAGCCATGCAGCAGTCCTCATGAAAAGGTCAGACATCTAATACTTGATAACTTGAGTTCAGCCAGAAAGAGAAAAAGTAGTGGATTACTTACATAAAATTGCTACACAAGAGAAAACTGGGCCTCTTCCCACAGATTAATTTGGGGTCAGGTTTTTTTTGTGTGTGTGTGTGTGGTACGCGGGCCTCTCACTGTTGTGGCCTCTCCCGTTGCGGAGCACAGGCTCCGGACACGCAGGCTCAG